GCTGGGACCAACTCAGCATTATTATATCACTCCTCACTTCTTCTCCCAGAATCACTGGCAGCTTCATTCCCATAGAAGAGAAATTTGTCAAAATGTTGGGGACCTGGTTATTTTTCATAAACATCACTCTGATAAAGAGCACAATGCTGCTAGGACCTATTGCTCTCATCAATACCCAAGCAATTTTATAAACATGGATTTACAATAATATAGGCCAATTTTATAAACATGGATTTACAATAATATAATACATGGATTTACAATAATTTACAATAAAGTAGTCTATACAATAATATAGACTACTACTCTATGTCAGTTTCTTTCCTACCACGTTATCCATATACATCATGGCTCCTTAAAAAAGAAAATTCTTACAAATGATCATTAGTGATTTTAAAAAGTATTATTTTTTTCCTTCCCATACTTAATTTAAGTTCAAACAGCTTTATTTCAGAACATATCTTACAGATAATACAAAAGTATAGCTTTTGCACAGAGAAAGTGGTTTGCATAAGAAATAAGCACACACGTTTGCTTGCTGTTATTTAAATATATATATATATATATATATATATATATATATATATATATATATATTTCTTTATTGATTTCAGAGAGGAAGGGAGAGAGAAAGATAGAAACATCAATGATGATAGAGAATCATTGATCGGCTGCCTCTGCATGCCCCCACCCCTGGGGATCCAGTCCCAGGCATGTGCCCTTAGCCAGAATCAAACCTGGGACCCTTTGGTTTGCAGGTTGATGCTCTATCCAGTGAGCCAAACGGCTAGGAATCTTGCTGTTATTTTCATACTAGTGGCCTGCACATGAATCCATGCAGGAGTAGCTCGCTTGCCTCAGCTGGCTGCCCCACCCTGCCCACTGCCACTCATAGCTCTCTGCCACTCGTAGTTCGCTGCTCCCCTCTCCTGTTAATCAGTCATTTAGTGATGTTGTCATGACTAATTTGCATATTACCCTATTATAAGTATACATGAAAGAGACTAAGAGTGATTTTCAATGACAACTGGCATTCAATTTCAGAATAATTGCAAGAACTCAGTTAAGCCCACCTCACTTTTTGGCTAATAAACATCAATGTACAATAGATAGCATCACCTTTATCACACCATCATCATCATTAGTATCATCCATTATTAAAATGAAGAATATAACATTGGGTTACTAGTGGATCATAGCATCTTGCTCATGTGAAAAAAAATCAGCCCTATTGAAAGAATGTTTCATGGTGATGACCTGGTGGCTTTAAAATTTATATATTTTTTTTTATTGGAGATGAGGTGAGAGCTAGAGAAAATATGCAGTTTAAAAAAAAAAAAAAGGAAAGAAACCAAACTTCTATTTTTGGCTTTTCTGCCACTGACTCATAGCATTAACTTGAACTAGTCACCTATCCACACAAGAAGCAGTTAAAAGAGGAGAAAGTGAGAAAATGCCTCAGCTTTCCTATTTTAATGTTGGAGACCTGCTGAGCTCACTTATATAAATATTTCTCTTTGAGCTGCCTAGAAGACAGGAACTTTATAAATATTTAGTATTATTGTTGCACCTTAGGTACAAGTAGACAGAAAATTATGATACTCCCCTATTTACACAAGTAACTTATTTCAGACAATCTTAGTTCATTCATACCAAGCAACTGTGCATTGGCTTGTTACTGTCTGCTGGGCTTTCTCTCCCCCACCCCCCCACCCCCTCCAGTTGATGACTGTGGAAACATAAATAAACCAAGGGGAAGAAGCTCAGCATGGGCGAAGTCACACTGGCTGATTCAAAGCTGTGCATCAGAATGGGTGAAGATTCAAAATAAACATTACATTCAAAGTTTCTGATCGAAAAGTGTGAGAAAATGATTCATTTTAAGAATGAGTAATTGGGTTGAATGTTTGAAATTTAAATAAAAGTTCACTGAATATCTAGTTTTGCCTACTCTGTTTCTTTTTTAGATACACATGGAGAGAAAAAATCCACAAAGATATTGCAACTGGAATTGTAACTCCATTCTGTTTCAAGTGGAATCTTAAAAAAATAATTCACCTGTTTCATTACAAATCATTGTCCAATAGACTGTTCCTTCAAGGCTTTGAGGGCCCTAGGTTCTTGAAGGATGTTTTCAGAATATACTCACAGTTTTTCTTGGATGGTGGAATTTAAGGTGATTTTTTTTTTTTTAGTTTACTTTCTTATTCATACTTAAAAATCAATTTTTTTAAACAAGCAGCAATGTTTGTTAAAAAAAAATTGAAAACCCTTACCACTGATTTCTTTTCTCTGCTATATACTCCAAGCTTTTTTTTTTTAAAGTTCTTTATTATTGAAATTATTACACCTGTCCCCCTTACCCCCCTCATTGTACCCCAAGCTTTTAATGGATCTATGCTTTCCTTACAAATTTAAGACAAAGCAGTTATATAGAAATTAACTTCAAACTGGAAAACTGAGACCACCATGCAATTGAGTGGAGAGTTAGTTTTGACCTAGGGAAGCCAGGCTGCTTATGAAGCATATTTGGAAAACATGTTCTTTTGTTTTCATTTACTGTGGTAATTTAAACCAAAGCAGTGTGTCTCTTGAGTATGAATTATGCTAATAATAGTCTGTTTGTTGACCAGTTCTTAAAATGATTATATAATTTTAATATTTCTTGAGCACTCAGGATATTTTAGATGCAATTCCAGTCATAGAATAACAAAAGACAATCCCCCTTCATGCTCAACGACCTAATTTTTCCTAAAGAAAGAGTAAAAACCATTACAACTTTCTCTTTTGTAACTTTATATATCATCTTCTTTCATATTTTTTTTGCCTCATACAAATGCAGAAAAGAATATTCAATCATATCTGGGGGCCAAGATTTTTCTCCATAACCTTCTTCTTCCAGATGGATCAGGAAAGGCATTCACTCTTCCTACAACTGTTATTAAGCCTCTCTTGTATGCTGGTCCCTTGTCTTGGCAATGGGTTTAAAACAAGGAACCAGAAGCTGTTCCTGACCTAAAGAGGCTACTGGAGGGAAAGGAGCACACAGACAGACACTGAAGACAGACCTCTCCACAGGCACAACCTGGAAGGGAGGGAGGAGAAAGGGAAAATACTTCAAAGAACAGAGGGGAGAAGAGGCAGTCCTGACAGAGAGCACAATCTGAAAAGGCGCAGTGATGGGAACGAAAGAGCAGGACTCTCCTTTGAGAATCCTCAAAGTAGTTGTCATCCTCTGGAGGGCAATGGGTGAAGGACATAAGAAGAAGGAGGAACTAGAACAGTAAATGAGGGTAGAGTCTAGAGGTAAATTTGGGATTTGCATAAGGAGCCCCGGGAAGCAGATCTGGCCATGTGTTCCAGGCTACTCTGCTAAGAACAAAAGTAAGGTCACAAAACAAGAAGTTCACCTTTAAAAACTTTGGAATAACTTAATTCCCTGAAATCCTGCCTTCCCCCCCTTCATCCCCCTCCATAGTGAGCATTCTTCTTGGCCTCCATGTCCACCATTTGTTTCTCTCTATTCTTCTGTTCATTGCTAGAGCCAGCAATAGTAGCAGAGTCCCTGGGACCTAAAGACACTCAGTTCTAAGGTTGTAGCTCTTAGGTTGCAGCAGTTGATGTTGCTGTCTTAATGTCTGTCCAGTGGGCCCGGTGGGTCACTGATAGTTCATGTTCTCAATGCCTCCATTCTTTCAAGGCTTCCCAGGCTCTTGTTTCTTGCCCTTTCCCAAGGTTTCAACATCGCTCTTCTCTGATGTTGGCCTATTGTCCGTGGCTAAAGCTGTGGACCTAAACCAGTCTCTCCTTGGTAACTCTTGGAACTTCCTGGGATCTGCTTACCAGATGGTTGTCTTCTAGACACTCAAATATTCTGGAATCTTTGAGATAACACAGTGTTAATCCATGCTGGAAAAGTTATGGGGTGGGGAAAGAAATGGAAACAGAAAACGAGAGAGAGAGAGAGAGAGAGAGAGAGAGAGAGAGAGAGAGAGAGAGAGAGAGAGAGAGAGAATCCACTGAAAGATGTCTTGAAGAAAATGAGAAGTATAGGTGGCATGTGTGGGAGCCTCTGAACCCAGAGTATTCTTACCCACATTTTTTTCATCTATCCTCTCATATTATTTTTCCATTTTGTATTGTATGTATTTTTGTAAGCCACTTTGGGACGATTTTGGAAACACAGCGGAGTATAAGTAGAGGTAATTAACACCATGTTGAGAAACTAGCCTTCTGAAGACAGGACGCTGTGGTCAAAGGTAGAGGCAAAAACACTTTTTTTATTTTTTATTTTATTTTTTATAAACACAAGGATGGCCAGAACTTGAAACAGCAGGAAAGAGGGATTTCAAATTAACATCTAACTGCCAAATGGTGCTGTAATCACGACCTACTCTGCAGATGGCAAAGTAGTCAGGCAGAGAAGCGCATCCATCCCAACCACACCGAACCCGGATGGAAGGCAAGCATCTGGATGCTGAGTACTGAGGCAGAGAACAAGACTTCCAGGACTTGGGGGGGGGGGGGGGGGGGGCAGCAGGGTGAAAGGGCGAGGGAAATGCGCTGGAGGCGAGCCCTGTCCCTCCACGGTGTAGGGTCACCCTCACTGGGTACAATGGCTCCTGAAAGTCAACAGCAATGGATAGAAAGGCGTTCAACAGGGACTCCCTCCTCCTCTCCCTCTGCCTCCTCCTCTCCTTCCAGGACGCCCCGCACTTCCCTTCCTACCAAATCCAGACCTCGGGGACCCCATCATCGGGGTGCGGGGCTGCAGGTGGCATGGTGGCCAGGGAGAGACAAGGCGAGAGCCGGCCTGACCCGGCCCGACGGCCAGGAGGGAGCGCGGGTACTGCCCCTCCCCGGGCGGGGGGCGGGGGGCGGGGGGCGCGGGCGGAGGGCGGTCCCAGGCCGGGCGCACGCAGGCCGCCACCCTCCCGCCTCCTCCGCCCGCTCGCCAGCCAGTCGGCGGAGCCCAGGTGCCTGCGGGGACGGAGCGGAGGATGTGCAGCCCGTGGCTACTCCTGCTGTGGGCGCTGCTCCCCGGCGCGGCCGCGGAGGGCTCGGGCCGGACCTTCCCGCACCGCACGCCCCTGGACTCGGAGGGCAAGTACTGGCTGAGCTGGGGCCCGCGGGACGCCCGGCTCGCCTTCCGCCTCGAGGTGCGCACGGCCGGCTACGTGGGCTTCGGCTTCTCGCCCACCGGGGCCATGGCCGCGGCAGACATCGTGGTGGGCGGGGTGGCCCAGGGCCGACCCTACCTCCAGGTAAGCGCCCCATCCTTCCCCAGCCCCGCAGGGTCAGCGCGCCTTCCGATCCCCGTCCCGTCCCGTCCCGTCCTGACCCCGGAGCGGGCGCGGGTGCCAGGACCCCCCACCAGCGGCCACCGGGACGGCCGCGCAGCCCCGCGCACGCTCCCCGTGGCCATCAGCTCCCGCACCCGCAGCCCAAACCCGCGCCCCGCGCCCCACGCCCTGCGCCCCGGAGCCCGCTCCCCGCGCCCCGGAGCCCCGCGCCCCGCTCCCAGCTTTCGCCCCGCGAAGCTGAGCACAGTGACTCCAGGCAGGTCTCCGCTTCTGAACACCTCCCTGTCCCCAGCACCCGGCGGAGTGGACCTGCTCCTGCCACCTGCCACCTGCCGCGGTCCCCCTCTATTGCCGGTGGTCCCGGGGACCTGAGGGCTCTCAGGGTTTGGAGGTGGGGCAGAGAGTTTGAAGCCCTTGGCTGACTTGCTGCCTGGGGGTCGGGGTGTCTGAGAGAACTTCCCAAATCGGGGCGATTTGGGAAATCCCAGGCGAGGTGCCAGCTACTTCTTCAGAGGGATGATCCCTTTAGGATATTGCTAGTCTGAGAGCCGCTTCTAAAGAGCTGCAAAACCTAGAGCCCCAGGCAAAATCCCCTGTGAAGAGGCAGAACTTTTTCGCTTACTTAAGTAGCTAATAGAGCTAATTTGACAACTGGCTGATTGTTTCCAAAGAGCCTCAGGGGAGCCGTTGTCTATTCATTGATGTCTTTATAAACAAGAGGAGAGAACTGTGAGATGACCAGAGTGAGGACGCAATGAGAGGTTCTCTGGAAATCTTTGTTTATTTGATCTTGACCAACATTTGGACAGTTTTCGATGGTGACCTAACAGCGTAGTGGAAATACACCCGTTGTTACTTATCAAAGTTTATCCAGAGAGCCTGCCCTTTTGCTAAAAGTTCCTTGATTCCGGATAAAAACTCCTGATTATGTTGGCATTGTTTTAGGCTTTGAGGATGTTAAAATTCAACGCACCACATAAATTTCAATGTGCATTTCTCAAGAATCGTTTTCCTGGCTTCTAAGTTTGATTTCTGCAATGTTCTGACGGGGATGCCATCAAATGTGAACCTAATTCTGGCACTGAGATACTCACATTGGCCGGAAATAAAGGAAATGATAGCAATTAAAACTTCATAACCAACCTCTTCTCTAAATTTCCCCCCATAAATTAATTCTTTCTAAAAAACTAAGTACTCTACAACTCCAATAAAATAAAGTTTTATGAGGACTGCACTCTGTTGAAGTCATTGATGTATAAATTTTCTACTGCTTCAGCATCTCAGACATTAAATTTGTAAACCACAAATTTGACCCCAAACACAGACCTCACTAGCTAAATAACTTAACTCTCTTATAATGGGAGTAGATAGATAGTACCTGATATAAAGAGCTTTATGTTGTGTTGTTCTTTTCAAGGCGGTAAGGGTTAAATGCCCCTTAATTATTCTTGCATCCAAGGGGACATAGTAAATCTTACTAAGTTAATATCATAAAACAGGGTGTGCTATCAAAGATAACTTGATATTGTTTTTCTCAAATGAGTAGCATTTCTAGAAAACCCACTCAATTAGATATTAAACGCCAGGCCAAGAGTAGAATCCTGCTTCAACATGCCATAATGGGCCCACCACAAGCATAGACTTTGTTAAACTAAAGACTATTTTCACACTGCTGGTGGTTCGTTTATAAAGATTGCATAAGAATTAATTAAGTGCTATTTAGGTTGATTTTGAACCATAGAACTTTACTTAAAATAATTAGTGAATACTTAATCACTATGAGATAAACCTTAAAATGAATACTTTTCCAATATATTTAATGAGCAAGAAATAGGATTTCCCCCTTTATTTCTATTCCTAAGGGGGGGGAAAATCCTTATTTTCATGAATAAAGATAATTTTCTTAGTTGCCTGACATTTTTTACTATTTCATTTCCTTAAACAACCTAATCATTTTAGGACATATAAGTTACAATAAAATTATGCTATTAATTAAATTCAAAGACAATTTTATTAAAAACTTATAATAAAATTAAAGACATTAAAGACCAAGCTGGGTGATTCCATTTTCCAACAGTTGGCATTAAATCTACTCTGTATAAATTATTTGAGAGTCTTCATGCAGAGATGTGATAAGGTATTCTCTGTGACTATACCGAGGTGAATAGTGTTCCTAATCATAATATATGCGATTCCAATAGTAGACTTTGGATTTTGTGTAATATTACTTCCAGGAAGAACAGACTTTATGTGAAACAATGATACAAAAGCACTGGCTTTTGGGGCATCTTGCGTGTGCAGCAGCTCCTGGTAGTGGGAGATGGTAGCAGGCTGTATGATAACCTAAGATGACATCCTAGTCACCTCTCCTGTGGCTTATTATTTGATTTTATCCTTTATTTTTTTAAATATGCTTTTTAAACTTGATTTGAGAGAGAGAGAGAGAAACATTGTTAGTTGCCTCCTGTACACACCTTGACCAGGGATTGAATCAGCAACCCAGGGATGTGCCTAACTGGGAATCAAACCAGCAACCTATTGGTCCATGGAACAACTCTCAACCCATTGAGCAACACAGCCAGGCCCATGCTCTCAAGTTTTACAGACTTGACTTTTAGATTTTTTTATGTTCTTTTATTATTCTGAATCTTTTTTAAAAAATATATATTTTATTGATTTTTTACAGAGAGGAAGGGAGAGAGACAGAGAGCTAGAAACATCGATGAGAGAGAGTCATCGATCAGCTGCCTCTTGCACACCCCTTACTGGGGATATGCCCGCAACCAAGGTACATGCCCTTGACCGGAATCAAACCCGGGTCCCTTCGGTCCCCAAGCTCTATCCATTGAGCCAAACCGGTCTCGGCTATTATTCTGAATCTTATTTTTCGGATTATTTTAACTTCTTTTCAGTGGAATGGTAACTGCATAAGAATAAGTTCCAACCAACCAGGTAAAGAATTGTTGGCTAACTAGATGTTACAAATCCAAATGCCTAGAGAGGTTAGAGAGCAAATGTAGAAGAGTGATGGGCTTGAGTGGAACAAGCAGGATGTAATGCCACAGAGTAGAAGTGATTGAGGAAACCAGAGTTTTTGCAAATGAATTACTGTTATGTGTGAATAGAAATAAAGTATTGCCAGTTCTAGTGGATTTTTTTTCTTTTTTGAGACAAGACATAAATTTAACTGTGTGTCTGTGCATTAAAATCATCTGACTGCTAAATACTGGCCACAATTCAAGTTTGTACAAAGCACCATGCAATGTTCACATGTATACATGATTTCCATTCAGATAGATCCTGTGGACAACTTAGTCTGCGACCACAAGAAAAAGGCTAATGTTAATAAAGAATCAGCCTCAATTAGGAGATTCCATGAGAGGCAAAGAGGTGGGTTCCATTTCCTTTCAGGCCAGGTTTATTCTGATCCAAGCACATTCTGTCCATTGACAGAGGGGCCCTCACCTATTGTTTTGGTTATTTCCTGGTGTGTAACAGACCACCCTAAAATACTGGCTTAATCCAAGGATAACCCTTACTTTGCTCACAGATCTGCAGTGTGAGCAGGATTCAGTGGGGACAGATCTCTCTGTTCTACTCGATGTCACCTCCAAGTGAGTGGCTTGCTTGCTTGACTGGCAGTTGATGTTGGCTGTTGTCAGAGACCTCAGCAGGTACCATGGTGGGAACATGCCTCTGCACACAGCTTCTGGGCTTCCTTACAGCACAGGGGCTGGGTCACAAGAGTGAGCATCCCAACAGGCCCTGTGGAAACTCTACAGCCTTTTCAACTTACTCTTTGAGTCCTGTAGAGCGTCTTCTGCTATAGTCCCAGTCCTACAGGATGCAAGAGGGGACAGAGATTCCACCTCCACATCACATTGTATGGAGATCACATGGGGATGAAACATATAAGTGTGGCCATCTTTGGGATAGACATTCTCCCACACCCATCCTACAGACTTGCCACCTGTCTGCATGCATGGACTCTCTTGACACTGCTGAGATTTGGAGACAATGTTTACTTATTTACCTTCTTTCCTTTGCATATTTTCTCTCTCTGCCTCTCCCCCGCCTTCCTCCGGCCCACACACTACTCCACTACTATAAGAAATTAGTGAACAGTTGATAATTTCTCCATTGTCCTTCTGTTCCATACCCCTTCGGCTCACCCCACCCCCCAACCCCCAAATAAGTTCTGAATCTCCACAACCCATCTAGTTCCATGGTTGCCAATCACCCAATGAAACTACCTCCAGAGGGCAGTGTGACATTTGTTTGTGGGATGGTGGGATGAAAACCCAGCTTTAGTAAATCCCTTAAAGGGCCATGGACTTAACTATCCCCATTACGAGAATTTGCCTTGCCCATTTTGAAACCCTCGGATTCTGTCTGGAAATATTTCCTGAAATGGTGTATAACCTGGTCCTATCAGAATGGGGAAGAGAAGAGAGAAATGTGGTTGTGAAGTGAAGCCTGTCTTAGTGTACACCATCAGATAAATTGTTCTGGAGCGGCTTCCACTTGGGGAAATGTTGCTCCTGGGCTGCTGCTGAGGTCTCTTTCTGCACCATCTTTCACAGAATTGCCAGAGGGGCGGGGTGGGGGAGAAAGCAGGCCTTCTTTTGGCACTGGCTCTTGAAAACCTCACGATTTTGTCTCAATGAGTTAACTCAGTGCTCCCTTCCCTGATGGATGGTGTCCTTTCCGTGTACTTTGCCCCTCTTTGACACGGAGCAATCCCACCCACCGGAGCCACTTAGCAACTGCAAGTCCCCATGTGAGGCAAGTGACCTGGGCTGATGAATGCCCAGTTTGTGCGAGTTAGAGAAGAGGGCAGCATTGTCGGATGTGCTATTGAATTTGCACAGAAATTGATTCACTCTTCCTTTGGGCGGGGGGGGGGGGGTATACATCGGCATGGAGGCCGAAATATGTGTCATCATTTGTTACAGCCTTGC